TGGCCCTCCTGATCCCATGTATGACCTTCTCGTCTTCCCATGTATGACCATTTTGATCCCATGTATGACCTCCTCCTCGTGATCCCATGTATGGCCTCCTCCTCGTGATCCCATGTATGGCCTCCTCCTCATCTTCCCATGTATGAATCCAATGAGTGAAAGGGGCAAGTTGGGGGGGAAAGGGCTAGATGATGCTGAATGTCCTCCAGCCAGGAAATGTGGCGAGCCCGGACACCCATGCAGGGCTCTATCTGACTTGCTGCAGCGTCTAATGCACATGGTGAGAAGCTCGCAGTGTGCAGTGACATCACAGGAGGAGCCGGTACATCTGTGTAAGACCTGAAGGCAAGGATTTTAGGCATTTCAGCCAATCATTGTCAGCCTTGTTTAACATTTCAGCTGGTGTGCAGATGATGCAAGTGTCATGGAGGATAATGACAGGCAGTGGCGTAACAACCGGGGGTGCGGGGGGGTCACTTGCCCCGGGCGCAGGACTGAGGGGGGCGCCGTCACGACCCCCGCTAAACGAAGCCCCTGGCTCCCTCTCTCTGACACGATCACCTGGCTGTCATCGGGCGGCCGCTAGGTATTTGTTTAGCTGAGCGGTGGAGCTCCCCGGATAACGATGGGTGAGCTCTGCCCGGGCAGGTCTGCGGCATTCCTGGTACATGCAAAACAAACGACAAACGCACTCAACAATTTGTCACCAGTTATACAGTAAGGTGCACACGAAATGGGCTTTGCACAGTAGAACAGTAGAAAGGTATCATGGCACACTCACAAACCAGCATGTAAAACAACTTGTCTCACCACTAAGGACAATGACAGAGGTTTGAATACACGTCTTCTGCAAAGGATGTGTAAGCCGCACTGCCGCACCAAGGCACCTCTTATAGTGCGGTCCTAACTCTAAACTATGAGAGTCTCCATCTTGGAGCACATGGGGCAGAAGATATCAAATTGGGTGCAGGCCTGTCAGGAGGACGCCCCACCTCCTTAAAGGTACAGAAACACACAAGGGATCCCGCACATCCCATTGGCAGCTGAGAAACCCCATGCGTCGCTGCACCAAATCGGTAAAGCAAAACAAACGACAAACGCACTCAACAATTTGTTACCAGTTATACAGTGAGGTGCACACGAAATGGGCTTTATTCCTGGTACATGTTCAGAGATCTTGTGGCCCAGATTTGGGTTCTCTCCGGGGGAGATGTGATCTGTGTTCCGGGGATCAGATACACTGCAGGTGAATGTTTGTGTGTACGGTGTATGTTCCTCCAGAGGTGAGGACGCATGAGATGATAATGGGGCCGGGTGCGAGGAGAGGACAGGCTGAGACTCGTCATGGAGTAGAGATGAGCCCCCCGAGGCTCCAACTTCCTCAACGTTTTCTTTATTGAGCTATGGTGTAGATTTATAATAGGACGGGAGCCCCTGTGGATGAGACGGGGGGCCCCCTGTGGATGAGACGGGGAGCCCCTGTGGATGAGACGGGGAGCCCCCTGTGGATGAGACGGGGAGCCCCCTGTGGATGAGACGGGAGCCCCCTGTGGATGAGACGGGGGCCCCCTGTGGATGAGACGGGGGCACCCTGTGGATGAGACGGGGGCCCCCTGTGGATGAGATGGGACCCCCGTAAATATGATGTAGATATATGATGAGACGGGACCCCTGTAGATGAGACGGGGACCCCCTGTGGATGAGGCGGGACCCCCGTAAGTATGATGTAGATATATGATAAGATGGGACCCCCTGTAGATGAGACGGGGACCCCCTGTGGATGAGACGGGACCCCTGCAGGCATGATGTAGATATATGATAAGATGGGACCCCCTGTGGATGAGGCGCGACCCCCCTGTGGATAAGATGGGACCCCCTGTGGATGAGGCGGGACCCCCATGTGGATAAGATGGGACCCCCTGTGGATGAGGCGGGACCCCCATGTGGATAAGATGGGACCCCCTGTGGATGAGCCGGGACCCCCATGTGGATAAGATGGGACCCCCTGTGGATGAGCCGGGACCCCCATGTGGATAAGATGGGACCCCCTGTGGATGAGGCGGGACCCCCATGTGGATAAGATGGGACCCCCTGTGGATGAGCCGGGACCCCTTGTGGATGAGCCGGGACCCCCTGTAGATGAGCCGGGACCCCTGCATATAATATCTGTCCCCCACCAGCAATGCCTACATTACTATACTCAGAGATGGTGTCAGTCCAGCGAGTCACCCCATCTGGAGGGAAGGGACGGGGACACTCCGTACCAGCCGGGCCCTGTCTCTCTGGATGAATACGCGCCATTGTTGTCCGTCACGCACAGAACAAACAAATGTATCTAAAGCCAAGACTTGTAGTGTGGAGGGGTTAGACCCCCTGTCAGGTTTTTTATTGTCTGTGTCCCCATTAGGGAGAGTCACCCCCTCTATTTGTCACGGGGACTGAAAGTTGGGGGGAGAAACCACCATTGTGAGTTGCCCCCAGAACTCGTCTCCGGCAATGTATAGCCCGGCGATGAGGTCACTGCGCGAGGTAATACAGATATAGATGGACGTCCTTGCCCCCAGAGTTCAGCTCTAAGTCAGTCCTGAGCATGGCGGGAAGCAGCCAGTCCTCGGGGATTGCGGGATGAGCGGAGGACACGGGAAATGAAGGAAGGGACAGACGGGAATAAACATGAGACACATCTATAGGAA